TAATTTCCTCCGGTCGATATCGCGACGAATTAATCCCTGTGCGTCAACTGTCATGTCGGATTCAGCGGCCAAATCCTAAAAAGGCAAAATGACAATCGTACATCCTGCGGAAACGGATGCTCGTCAGCACGCTTGGCTAACTCTCTCCGACATTTCACGATCCACCCCCTACATTGAAGTAACTTTTAATGGACGTTTGCATTACAGAGATACGCATATACTTTATTCCTTATAGTAACAGAAATGTTGCTTTTGAAATACGTTTTTATACAATCAGCTTGTAACGCTAAAGGCTCATCAGTGATAAGCATAATCTTGTTACGTATATTTTTTTATCTTACATTATAATCGCTCTCAAAGTTGATTCGAGATATCTAAACGTTGGGAATAAGAAACATTTTAGCTAATATCGGAATATTTTCCAATTATTTTTTCCTTTGCTTAAGAGAATAAAAGTAACGTCTGAATTTTTTATATTATTAATTATTATAATAGATCAAAAATTATTTCTATCTCTTTCAGTCGATTAAATTACACAATTAAAAGCAATCATAAAGTATAATAATATATGCCACGGAGATAATTGTTTATTTTTTTTTTCTTTATTGCGCTTCTTACGAATATTTTACAGCCGTTGAAATGACATAAGTATTTCTCTGAGATCGCGTTTGAAATACTCCAGAATAATCAAATTCTACGACATTGTATCCTCTACACACCATGTGCGCCATATGTGGCGTAGCTAGTTTCAATTCCAGGAGCCTAGTTTACGGATGCAGCACACTCATGCACGCGAACCGATACCGCGTGCAACGAGCGTGCAGAGGAACGGGTTAAAGCGTATACCTGACTATGTATGTTTGCTGCGCGCACACGGATACCATGTCGAGATCGCTGCAACACACCCGGAGTTGAGCAGAACTTCCGGTTGCATCGAATAACTTTATTGGCGAGCAGATAGAGCTCGAAGACGAACCAGTCGGTTGCATCCCGATGAGTTTGTTAGCACAACCCTAGAATTTTTATCAAAAATTATCGATTTATCTTTCTGTCTCGCATGTTTGTACAATTGTAAAAAAATATCATACAGTATATGCTCATTATACCTCGAAAGGTAAAGCCTTAACTGAATAAATTATGATTTCTAATACTTTCTTTAAACATCTAAAGTACAACGTTTAAACGGTCCTCGAGAGATGTCAGAAATTATTTGATTCAGATACATTTATCTTACTTTAGAAAGTGCAATTTGTTTGATGCTCGATATATAAAAGGCATGAGACGAGATATTTATTTTCTTATAAAGTATGAGAGAAAATCGGCATACTTATTACAAATTGCAATTTGTATGCATACTATCTACTTATAGTTATAGTGGTGCACAATTGTGTGGCGGTGTGCCACTTTTGTAACAAAATAATATTCGAATTTTGTCTGCTTTTCGTGATCGTCGTGTGCAGCGATAACACAGCAATAATGCGCCCACAATTGCTCTCTAATGGATTTGTTTATGTCCCATTGACATAACTTTGGCATCCGTTTTTCCCAAATTATGACTAGTACTCGCGGACGCGAACGTAATTTGTCCCACATTAGTCTAAATGGTGGCTCTTTAAAACAATATTGCGGAAAACGGTACACAAACGCTGTCCTGAGGATGAGACCGAATTAACAGAATGGGAATGACACGCAATCTGCAGTCGACAATTCGATTCCCGTTACCGCGAAAGAACAACGCGCCGTACCGTAACACCTAACATCATACGATTTACTGCATTTTTGCTTATTATTAAGAAAAAAGTATCACGGCTGCGGGTATTTCCCTGTTTAAAACTCTGTGCGCAGATATATTTTCCTTGCTTCAAAGAACAGAATGAATAAGAAACGTATTGTACACGTAAATAAGTATGTATAATGGAAAAAAGTGAATATTATGTCTAGACTTGTGTACTCATTTGCTTAATTTACACATTAATTGGCAAATAAGTTTCCCATTTTTATTGCGTGACATATTAATTCAACAATTTTCTTGTTCTCGGAATGATAGAAATGATATTTTTAAAGAAATATTTGAAACAAAAAAATATTGAAAAACTCGTTGTCGATTATCAAATTTAATACATTTTTATAATGTCATTACTACATTTTACATTTTACATTCTTGATATCATCTAATTGAACGATCGCATGGACCAACACGCGGCCACACGCGAATCTTCGCGTGTTATGGCAATCGACGAGCGAGGGGGGGGGGGTCGTCTTCCTCGTCGTTGGATGAGGTTGAACGCCCTCGTAACGCCTCAAAGGAGGAATGATTGAGCTGCAGCCGCAGTGCTGCGCTACTCCGCCGTCATTTAACCGGATTAGGAAGCGAGTTGGAGAAACGAGCGAGAGCTCATGTCGCGCGATATACTCCAGATGCAACGTCAATATGTGTGCAGGATGCACGAGTGCGTTACAAGCTCACGCATGTACGCGCGTACGCGGGTGCGTTACCGCACGGAGAGGCCGACAAACCCGGTGAACCAACCGCTGCTACTGTTTTACAAGGCACTCGTCGAGTGCCGGTTGCAATTCACCTCGATGCTTCCGCTTTCTGCGTGAAAGCCCGACATTTACTCAGAACTGTTCTTCATTCTTGAGTGTATCATGTAAATTAGTGACAATTATATACCGCGGTACATAAAAGCAAGCGTGTTGCGAATTCTTGCTAATTTCAACATCGTAACATCTGTGCCATCAGAATCTTTTTTTTTTTATTATACATTTGCTTTTAATATTTTGAAGCAAGATTATATAGATTTATTAATATTTATATTTGTATTTGTTATTTTAATATTCTGTATTTTTAGGACGATTTTTAAAATAATATTTTCTTATAGTATAGCATATGATATGTTTTGTTAGTCAGATTTCTGCATAATATGTACGTATATAAGAGCAATTTGTCTGTCAATCGTTTGCGAGTTGAAAGGGTACTCCATAGAGGCTTACAACAAAACTCAAGTGCCTGCAGAATTAAGTGTCGAAATAATTCATGCGGGTTGAATTTCCGGTGACGGCGTCGTGCAAACAGCTCAGGAAATCTACATCGCGTTTGAAATACACACATACTTGAATCTTTTTATAACGAGAAATCCGTTAGGATCGAATCTTCAAAACCGTTTCGAATCATTAATTTAACATGGTCGTTCCTTTCTTTTTATTAAATGCAAGTACTTATATTCACGTTTAAAATACATGTTATATTATGAACTTATACAGCTTGGAACTTATTCTATAATAATTCTATAATAATTTTTTTTGTGTTTTTTGTTAAATTCTGTAATTGCGGTATAAAACCATATCTACGTTCGCGGAACAACGATTTATTAATTCAGAAATTTGTGCAATGACTAGCAAAAAAGAATGAAAAAGAAACGGTTTGAATAAATCAATCGATTAGAGACCATAATGGTGATTGTACACGAATTTTGACGAGCATTTTCACGTCGAGATTTGCGAATCCATTACGGAAACGAACATTGGAAGCTCGCGTGCGACAATGCCTTTTAACCAGACAAAAGGTACGAATTTCATATGACCGCATTCAGTTGCTAGTCCTGCTTATTCATGCTTTTGTTTTATATTAAAAACTTTACGACAGACTTTGTTTAATCAAGCCTAATCAGTAAATACTAAATACTAATTTTTAATAATTAATTATCATGATTTTATACAAATAGAAATCACCAAAATAATATTAGTTGTAAGAAGTATATAATGTTATTTTAATATTTTAGTACATTTTAATATAATATCTTAATATAATATTTTAATATAATATAATATATTTTAATATTATATTTTAATATAATGGTTATTTTAATATAAAATCCCAGATATTTAATGAACAATTTTTAATTAAATATATGTAGTTTGGACAGCGAGAAGAAAGAGATATTGAAAAAATTTTTTCTTTTATTTAATATAAAGCATAATTTTTAAATGAAATTTTTGATTTATGACACCTAAATTATCTTTTATTATATATTGACCATACATATAACAGAATAATTGACATTAACCTCATTATCGTTTGTATTACCGAAGCATTGTGTAAGCAATTTCTGCAAATGTTTCGACAGTGGATTCCAGTTGAACATGCTCTGATGATTTCCCTTCTATTTTAACATTATGTCGTTACTACCTACCATCCAATGCATTTTAAAGCGATTACGACAGAAGAGGAGGAAAAAAAGAAAACCCACTACCTTTATTGCAGCGCAGTGCGAATTAGTTGTAATTGGACTCGCGTCTGTAATGTAATAACAAGATATACGCGTATTTAATAACTGTAATTACAATGAGAAATGTGAAAGGAATCGATCGTTCGCAATTACATCTATTTCCTCTTTTCGCTTTTATTATATTTATTTATATATATTACAGAATTTATTACTAATTATTAATTAGTAATGTGTATAGATTACATATGAGTTTCTTTTATTATTATCGCAGATTAAAGCTTTGTAAAAAGAAAAAATTTTTAATGTACTAACATATTATTTAACAGCTCTTCTCTCTCTCTCTCTCTCT